GAGCCAGCCTTGCCTGTTAAGGGACGTGGGCAGCAGGCATGTCCCCCCCCCCCCCCCCCCGGGAGAGAGGGGGCCGCCCCCGCACCCCCCCCCGCTGAGGAGGAGGAGGAGGCAGGCCGGGGGCGGAGCCTTGGCTGTCTGGCATGCTTGGCCACAGAACTAGGGAGGAAGCGCCAAGGGGGCACAAGCCAGAGAGGTACCTGATGCCACCAGGGGGTTTCCTGTCAGGTGGAGAAAATGAGGGGGGGTCAGAACAGAATCAGGAGAAAGACGGGTGGAGAAACCAAAGTCAAAAGAACCAGGCAGGAAAGAAGCCGGGCGAGCGCTGGAGGTGATGGAGCAGAGCTGAGAGAGGAAGGAGACGGCCACCATCTAAGTGGCTCAGCTCTTGGGCACGGCCCCTCTCCACCCACCCACCCCAAACGGCCTGGCAAGGGGGGGCAGCCGCCGCAGCCACTTCCCCTGCCAGTCAGCCCCATCAGGGCCCCCCCCCCACGAAACACCTGGAGGAGAGCTGGGACATCAAGCACCAGGAGCACCAGGGGGGCCTCGAAGTGCCTCCCCTGCAGATGCCAATTCAGGAGAATTCAGAATAACAGGAGTTGGGCGGGACCCCGGAGGGGCCTCCTGGCAGGAAGCCACGTCTAGCCTCTTCTTAAGAGCCCCCACTGGTTGGTGCTCCTCCCTGACATAGAGAACCCCTCCTTCGTTCCAGGTTGCTCCCCTCCCCTCAACTGGTTTCCACCTGTTGCTTTAGGTCCTGCCTTCAGGTGCTTTGGACACCCTCCCCTTCTCCTTTGGGGCAGCCCCTCAAATATTGGAGGACCCCTATCCTGTCCCCCCAGCCCTTCTTTCCACTGCACCTGCCCAGCTCCTGCAACCGTCCTTCGTATGTTTTAGCCCCCCCCCCCCGCCCCCCAATCTCCTCTGTCCCCCTTTTCTAGAGTCTCAGCATCGGTTTTATATGGTGGCGACCAAACCTGGATGCCAAGTGTGGCCTCACCAAGGCACGTATGAAGCGACCTTCGCACTAGAGACAAGGGCCCCTTTCTCACCTGCTGCTGCCAAGACCCCTCCCAGGCCGAGCTTGAAAGCAAGGCTGCCCCCTCCAACTCACCCCAATGGGTCAGCGTTCCTGCCTCGGGCAAACCAATCCAAGGACTCCCCCAATACAATCCTGGTGCTTTGCCTGAGAAGCGGGCCCAACCTCAGAGCAACCCCTGGGAAGAAGCTCCTGGGGATCTCGGATCCGCCCGTCCCTTTGCCCCAGGGAGCTGGTTCAGGCCCCGTCCTGGTTCACCCTCCTGCAGCTGCTCTGGCTCCCTGAGACCTGCCTTGACCTTTGCTGCCCCCGAGGGGCTCCCTCCTTTTGCCCCTGGGACCCCCTCTTTTTCTTCCAAGGAAGGTAGATGCCCCCTGTGCCCCTCTGGTCGCCCTCTCTCCTCACTTGCCCAGGAAGACAAACGCGTCCTGCCCTCTTTCCGGGCCAGGCAGAGAGAGAGAGAGATGCCTCCGGGTAACCTGGCCAGCGCACACACCCCCAACCTCCCCCCCGGTTCTTTCCCCAGGCGTAACCAGGCCGTGAGCTGGGTCCTTCTCCCTGCTCCTCTCCTCCACGTGGCCTGACCACCCTCCATCGTCACAATGTGAGAGAGAGAACTTGGAGGTTATCTACGTTTGAACCTTAGGAGCTCCAAAAAAAACCCACCGATTTAACAGGGGGCTCCCATAAACTCCCCTGCACTCACCGGGGTCTCCCTTCTGCCCTTGGGGCTCTTTTAGCCCCCTGAATTTTGGGCCTTTGGCTCCGAGCCCCCCCTTGGGCTCCCTGCTGGAAGCTCCGTTTCCACCCTCTTGTCTTCCTTGGAGCAGGACCTTCGCTCTCACCCTCCTCATTAGCCAGCCTGGCGTTTGCTCCCCCACCTCTTTCTCCTGGGTCGTCCTGGGTGGCTCTTCTTCAGCAATTCTCCCACCCACCAGGGGCATTTCCAGTCCTAAGAACCCCCCCCACGACCCCTTGCATGGAGGGACCTCCTCCCCAAGGAAGGAAGAGACCTTTGCAGCATATCCTGCTTGTTAACTGCGGGGATGACTGTGCTGGGATGCAGCTCGGAGGGGCAGGAGGGAGGGGCTCTTTCCCAGAGAGCCAAGAGGCAAAGGGCCCTGGAATCTCGGGGGGGGGGGCAGGAAGAGGGTGGAGCCGATCTTTATGCGCTTACATGCTTTAGTCTGGCGGGATTCCTGCCTGTGGGCGAGCAGCAATCAACCGACTGCTCTGAAGGAGCGCCCCGTTCTCCATTCCTTGGGCCCCGGAGAGGAGGGGGCTTGGGCTCACACTCAGGGAATCAAGAGGCAAAGACCCTATGGCTCCCTCAGGGAACAGCCTTACCTGTTCCAGGTCTTGAAAGCGTTACTGGCTCGCTTGAAGAGGTAGCCCTCCATGACAATGCCGTTCACCGCATCAACGTTGTACTCCAGCTTCATCTCGTCGCTGGAGAAGTCCTGGCATAAAGAGAGGCCTCCTGTCAGCCTCTGCGGGGGAGGTCGGGGGGTGGGGGGAGTCCAAGCCTCTCACCTCACATCCAGGGAGGGAGGCGGGACAAGCGCCTGCTCCTGGCCCCCCCTCCCAGGTCTTTCCCAGGGCTCCCTGCAGCAGCCTGAGGAAAGGGCGGGGGAGATTCGGGTGCCCGGGAGCCTCCGGCTCGTTGCTGGGAGGCCTCCACATGGTCTCCCCACCCCTTTCAAACGCCTCTTGATGAAGACGTGGCCTAGTCAGGTAATGAAGCCTGCGAGCAAAGCCCCCACGCTCAGCGCACCTGGAGGAGGACTCCTGCGCTAGATTCCCCTCCCCTGGTACCAGAGCCTTGGCTAGTGGGGAGAATCCCCTCCCAGCGATCGCCTCAGCATCACCCCACAGCTAGGGAAGTACCGGTGGATGAACCGCATCACACCCAGGTGGCCCTGCAAGGCTGCGCTGGCTCCGGAGGCTTCCAGGGTGGGAGGGAACAGAAGAGTCGGTTCTGCACTCGAGCTTTTAGGAATCTGCCTACCTATCAATCTTTCCTCTCCCCCATCTACCTACCTACCTACCTATGTCATCTATCATCTTTATTGTCATTGCGCCTCATACAACGAAATTAAATGCCATCTTCAGTGTACATAACTATAACTATAAAAATAAAACACAAACACACATCCTTCACATTCTATACAATTGAACTGAAAACTCCTGATATTGCATTAACAATGCACCGTACACAGGGGTGGGATTCTACCAGTTCGCACCTATTCGCTAGAACCGGTTGTTAGAGGAAATTACTGGCCTAATCCTGTAAGGAAGGCAGGAAGGAAACATTCTGGTGTTGCTTACAGAAACTGTCTCTCCGTTAACCCTTATTACATTCTTGACAGGACTAGATTTCCTGTCTCTGCAACTTCTCTGGAGTTTTTCCCCCCTCCTTTGCTGGTACTTTGCTCATGTGGAGTGACCATTCAAAGTTACAATGGTACTGAAAAAGTGACTTATGACCATTTTTCACACTTACGACTGTTGTAGCATCCCCACAGTCATGAAAGGCCAGGCGAGATGTGTACCTCGATGTGAGTGATATTGAGTTGGCCACACCCACCCAGTCACATGACCACCAAGCCATGTCCACCAATTAAGCCACGCCCACAGAACCGGTTTTTAAAAAATTTGAATCCCACCCCTGACTGTACAGTATCTATGTTATTCAATCTGTTTAATCTTGCTTTGAAGGGTGGATCAGGATTAAAAGCAGTAAAACCATAAAAGGTGCACATTGCATCCTAATTACTTTGGATTGTAATCCTATTTTTATTGTTTTTAAAAATGTTTATCTTTTATAGTTTTATGTCTCTGGAGGTTCTCAGTCCTCCAGGTCACAGCAGTCCCAAAGGTGCTGCTGGCCTTTCTTGGTTTCCCTTCTCATCCAAGCCGTGAAACTTCCGCAAGGAAAACCGGGAGCCCAGTTGCCTTTTGGAAAAGCACCTCCGGGACAATCCTGACCTGGGTAACCGAGAATCCTCTGAGATAGAAAACCATGGAAGGTAAGTATTTTTTTAAAAACTATAAAAATAGAGTAAGAATAGAATCCAAAGTTACAGTTTACAGAGAGGGAGAGAGGCAGCACCACACCTGGGAGGGGGGGATGATTTCCCTCCTCAATCCACCCCCCCCCCTCCACTCTGAGGCTCCCCCATTGGGGCCGCAGGGCAGCCGGCAGAGGCCGGTCTTCAGGCCCTGGTGGAAGGGGAGGGGGGTGGGATCCCACGTTCCAGAGGGCAGGAGCCACGGCAGAGGAGGCCCTTCCCCTGACCACAGCAGCCAGGGGAAGGGCCCACACACCTGAGAGGAAAGGCCAACGGAACGCGTCCAGGGAGGCCAGAGGACAAACCCAGGAAGAGTGGCAGCCACCTAAGGGCCCCTTCAAGACCCTTCCAGCCAGTCAGCCAAGCCAGTGAAACCCCCTGCAACGATGGACGGTTCAAAAGCTGGCCTCCTCCTTAAGGTTAAAGCCGGTTTTATAACCACCCCACGCTACCTTTCCCTTCCTTTAGCTTTAGCACAGTTATCCCTTTCCTTTCCCCATTTCCAATGTTTTATTGATCCCTGCATGAATACTTTTTTAATCCGCCAGCGAGGATCGATCGGCTGGGGGTTCCCTGTTTTACCCGGCATGGCAGGGAATGGGGGGGGGCGGGGGGGGAATTACAGAACTGCCTTTGGGGGCAGCTCTTGGGGGCAGGAGGGGAGCAAAGAGCCTGCCCCACCAGTAGCCCTTGCTTCAGGGTGGGACCCGAGGACACCCCGCCCCCTCTGGAGAGCACAAACACCCGGGGAGGGGGGGGGCTGTCAGGCTGAGCCCCTGGACCAGGCCGGGCTCCCTTTCCCCTTGAGGCACCTGGAGAGCAGGTGAGATTTGCTTGGCATCTCCAAAGGGCCATGGCACCCAGCGGCAAGGGGGCGGCCTTGGGGCAGGTAACGTGGGCGATGGCTTTGCCTGGCCACCCTGGCATCGCGGGCAATGGAAGAGGCAACTTGGCTCCCCTTTCCTCCACCCCGCTGCCGCCCCATCCCCGGCAGCCCCACTGAGAGCCACCTCCGACAGGGCGAGGCGGAGGTTTTGCTCTGTTGCTGGCACAGGGGCCGGGGGGGAGGGGTGCCATTCCACGGGGCCCTGCTCTGCTGGGGGCGGCTGGCCCTTGACCCGCAAGAGCCCACAGATGGGGCAGGTACCTTCTGCTGGATGGTGGAATGCTTCTGCTCCATCTCCTTCTTCTCCCTGGCCGCGTCCAGACCCAGAAGGTCCAGCTGGAGAAAGGACAAGGAGGGAACCCACAGAGACGCTTGCCTCCACTTCATGCCCCCGCGCCCAAGGGGAGCTGCCCTCTTCCCCGGGGCCAGGCCCTGCCTCCAGCTCTGCCTCCCTCCCTGCCTTTCTCGGGGGGGGGGGGGGGGAAGAGACGGTGTCCAGGGAGCCCCAGGGCGCCAGGCTGCACGTGCGGCTGGACTGGCACATGGCTCCAGGCTGGAGGAAAGGAGGACTCGTTCACAGCCTCAGCGGCAGTGCTGGGCTCTCCCCACGGGGCAGGAGGGAGAGCTGAGGCTCCTGCCCAGCAGCTGAGGATTTGGGGCCTTCTGGACTGACATCGAGCCCCCCACAAAATCCTCCATAGGGTGGGAGGGCAGAGGGGCCCCTTCCCGCTGCATTGGATGCAAAGGGGAGCCGCTTAGGCAGCACCCACCCACCCCTGGAGCAGCCCCCCCCCCTCCTTACCTGAGCACCCAGCTCCTTCATGTAGGGCCCCAGTTCACTGAACAGATCGTAGCCTTGGTGGAAGAAGGCCAGGTGAGCACACATGACGGAGAGCATCTGTGGGGGGCAAAGGGGGCAGGTGAGGGCAGGAGGGGATGGGGCAGTCTGGACCCGGGGGGGGGGGGGGGCACCTGAAACACCCATGCCTGTGGGCCCCAAGGCTACCTCCGCCCTTACTGAACCCCGCCTTGAGCACTTTGGGGATAATGGGCTACGTAGTGCCTACGAGCCGTCCTCCTGCCCATCGCGGTCGTAAATGAGGTGACCCACTTGGCCAACCTGATTTTATGAGCTTTTCTGTGGCAATTATAAAGTGTCCATACTATGAAAATGACTAAAGAAATGGAGGGTTCCGGTTTGCAGGGCTTCGGCGGCAGGCAGGAATCCGCGATCGTGCACGGTTTCTGCCTGGGCTCGCCGCTGGAGCATCCCGAGCCAGTCTGGCTTTGGGGCTAAGCCACCCCGTAGAGGTGGCAAAGAGGGGGGAGATCCCAGCAGGGTCGAGGAAAGCCGCATCTTTCCTCCCTAGCTGGCTAAACTCCCTTTCCCGAAGGCGAACGAGCGGCGGTCAGAAATGGCCGCCTCAAAGAAGCACTCATCCGGAAAAGAAAGTGCAGGAGGAAGTTAAGAAGTGAAAGTTTTGGCTGACCGGGATAAGAAGCAACAACCAAGGAATCCTGGAATTTAAATTTTAAAAAAGATACATCGCTCCCAAAGAAGATTTGGAAGTAGCAAATGAAAGTGAATAGGGGAAGTTTTTTTTTTCTTTCACTCTCCTTCCTTACGTTGACAGCGAACAGAGATGAATGAGAAATCGGAAAAACCCACTCTGGCATCAAGAGGTAATTAAACTGGATAATTAAATGTCAAGGGGACAATAAGGACTTCTGAATATTAAAAAAAAACTTTTTTTTTTTGCTGTAAGTGGGAAGGGAGAGGAAAAGAATAAGAGTAGGATTTGGAAGGAGGAGACTGCCTGGAATTTAAAAGAATCTGATTAAATCCTAACAAGACTTCTAAAAGATACATCTTAACTGGAACTTTGTAACTAAATAGTAACCTCAGGAAGAGAAAGAAACAGCTTGTGTGTATTTGGATTGCTTGGTGACTTTGGGACTTTTGGAAATTATATTTGAATGACTAAAAACACTTGGGTGGTTGTTTGGGTGGTTGTTTGAAATTTTTTTTACAATGGCATCACTTGTGGATGAACTGAAAATGGAATTTAAAAAATATAAAGAAGAAGAACAAGAAGGGAAGGGCTCTCTTGGCTCCGTTTTTCAATTCCTAGAAATGGCGATTTGTACCTATGAGAAACTACAAGAAAAGACTACGCAACAAGAAGATTGGGACAAAGAAGAAGCCATCTTTGACGAACAAGTAACTTTACTTGGGGACGAAGGGGGAAAAGGGGGAAAGAGAATGGAGACTTTAAGACCTAAAAAAACAACCAAAAAAGGGAAAAATAAGGTGAAAAGTGGATATAATGTTAGAAAGCAACAGAAAATGGGAACACAGAAGAGGGAAATGGAGGTGGAGAGGTAAGGGGGTAAAAAGGGTGGAGAGAAGAAGCAAGGGAGGAAGGAAGGGAAGAGAAGCTACAAAGGTGTGGAGCAAGATGTAAAGAAACAGAACTTATTTAGAGATAATGGGTAAAAATTTAACTGAAAAAGTGATTCTGCAAAGGTACATAAGATTGTATTGTTATATTTGTATTAGAAATAATGTTAGAAAATTGGAAACATATGATTCAAAAGTGGGATAAAATACTCAGTGTAATTCAGTGAAACTTTTGTGAACAAAATAAATGAAATGAAATAAATGAGAGAATTGAACTAGGAAGGAATGGGAACATTTTAATGAGATGTTTTAAAATATGAGTGAAGTGGGGGGAAGTAACTATGGAAAGTTTATAAGTGTTCCCATAGAAGTATGATACTTATTTGAAAAGTAATGTGTAAAATGTTTAAGATTTAAATGAATACTAATATTAACAATAGATTTGAATTGGTATGGATTGTTGTTTTAATTATATTATATATTTATAATTTTTTCTCTTTTAAAATACAGTGTGTAACTTTAGAATGTACTAAGCAGACTCCAAATGGAAGTTATGTATTATACTGTTATAAATTTAGGGGAAAGATATAAAAGCGTCATACTCCAATCAGTGATTACAGGAGAAATTTTGTTTAATGAGAAAAGATAATAGACAGCTGGAAACAGGACAGACAAAGAATATAAGTATAATGATCTGAATTGAGATGAAATAAATAAAATAAAATTAAGAAAATTGAAAGAGGGGAGAAGCTATATAGAAAATGTAGAATGGTAATAAGATATGGAATGGTATATAAAATGAACATGAATCTGAATCTGTGTCTGTACAAAGAGATGTAACCCGGGATTAAGCTGCTTTCAAAAAAGATGTTTTATGCTTTTATGTTTTGTTTGTTTTTAAAAAATCAATAAAATGACTAAAGAAATATCAAAGAAGAATACGATATACGACTTATGTGCACATATGTAAAGTAACGTAAATAAATAAGTATTGTACTTTAACAATAGTATAGTAAGTAAGGAACTAGTAAATTAGCTATAGATATACCTATGTTAAGTGAACTTAATTGTTATTAAAGGACATGTACTCTGCTATGATATCGCTGTAAAATGTGAGAACTTGTTTTTTTAAATTTTTGAAATTTTGAATATTTAAAAAAAAAAAAAAAAGGCGTCCGCCACTGTCATTACACAAACCAAAGGATCAGTGGCAAAACCACCATAAACCACAGACCAGGGACTGTGCAAACTATAATTGTGGCCACAAGGAAGCGTGTGTGTGGAGGAGGGCGGTGTCCATCATAACTTCAGAACTGGGCCGTAGGTAGCCCTGGGGAGGCCTGCTGCATCTTCGGACAGCCACTAAGAGGCCGGTTGTAAGCCAAGGACTGCCGTTGCTTTCCTCTGCGCCGGAAGGGCCACTTACCGATTTCAGGATCTCCGATCTCTTCTTGGACTGAAGGACGTTGATCTGGGAGAGAAGAAAATCCCTTTGCTTCATTGAGTCAGGAAAGGAGAGAGTGGGAAAACCCCCCCCCCCCCTCCGTGCTGGGTGGAGGTCAGGCAGCCCCTGCTTGGTTGGATGGGGGGGGGCTGGGAAAAGTTCTCCCAGTGGGTGGTCCGGGCTCAGGCGAGGGGGCGGTCAAGCCTCACAAGGGAAGGGAACTGGCCAGTCAGCAGGGCTGCTTGCACCCCTCCCAGGGCCCCTCCCGGCAAAGACCTGTGTGGGACGGGCCCGCTGGGAAAGAGGCGGCCTCCCTGCCTCCATTACCAGCCCCTCCCCAGCCACATCGAGCAAGACACTCCCCCCCCCCCCGGCCCCCGGCCCCCCCCCGGGCCCCCGCGCGCGAAACAAGGGAAGGCGCTGCCCGGTTCCCTCAAGGGGGGGCCCCCCCCCCCCCCCGAGTGGGATTCAAGGGGAGGGAGGCATTTCTTTTCCCTAAGGGGTTCGGCACAAGCACAAGAGGGTGTGCAGAAAAGGAAGGCAAAGGGTTTTTGGGTGCAAGCAGGATGAGGAGACGGTGCCTTCCGGACCCTCCAGAACGTGCTGAGCCACAAGCGGGCACTGGCCTTCCGGACGTGGCCCCTCGGGCTCCCCGAGAGAAATATCACACTGTCTCCCACCCCCCACGATGACCTGGGAGACTCCCAGCAAGGCCAAACTCTGCATAAAAGGGTCCCCCAACGAAGAGAAAACCGAAGGAGCCAGGCCGCTGTTGGCCTTGCTCTGGGACCACAGCTGGCACACAGAGTGGCGGATCCCGAAGCAACTTTGGGTATCCTTAACTCTGCCCCACGCTCTTCCCCACCCCCCACCCCTTGTGCACAGCATCTCCCTTGGCCTCAGCACAGCCTGCCGTCCCTCGAGAGACCTGGGAATGGAAGCAGCCCTGCTTCTCTCCAAGCCAGTAGGGCTGAGCGGCTGCCTCCACCCCAGTCTCAGGGAGGTCAGGCCAAGTGTTTGTTTTAGAGGGGTTGGGGGTGGGGGGCACCGTCTGCACTTCCTACATTCTTCTGGGCCAAGATGAGGGCCCTGCAATTCCCCTTTGGGCCAGACTCCCACCAGGCCATCAGTCTTTGGCAACCCTGGAAGTTAACTTACTCTTTAACGAACATCTGGAGTTGTGCTTTGATGGACCTCTGGGTCTGGTCAAACAGGATCTGAAAGGGGAAAGGGTGCAGCCCAAAAGCTCCCTCCGCATTTTTCATCTCCTTCTCTTAGGCAGAAGGTTCCATCACTCCCCATGTGGGCAATGGCCCAATTTTGTTTAAAAAAAAAACCCCAAACTACGTATCCATAGCACTATGATTCGCCTTCGTTAAAATGTCTGTTGTCATCATGCATTGCAACATGTCTTCATCTCTTTGGCTTTTACACTGTTTTCACGTAAACGCATTTCACTCTAACGCAGACGGCAGTGCAATAAACCGAGTCCAACATATGGGATGCAATATGTTGAATAGGTGGCCAGCTTAACTAACGTGACTCACTCTGGACTCACCCGGGATGCGGGAGAGGCCCAAGATCCCTTCAGCCAAGGGCGGGGGGGGGGGGGGAATGGGCTCGTGGGCAAAAGCCCACTGAATTGACTCAACACCACCACCACCACCACCACCACCCCCAGGCCCAGTCTAAACTCTCTCCCCAGGCAGCCCCCCACTCCACAGGACCTCCTCCATGTTGGCTCCACTTGGAGGGTGGCAGAAGGACGTTTCCCGTTAATGGAGACTCAGGCGGGATTCCAAGCCAGTCTTCTCAGGTCCAGATTTAAGAGCCACCTCTCCCCCCACCCCACCCACCCCCGCCACCAAGTGTGGCCTGCTTGGGCTCTTGCTCCTGTCTACATCAAGACTGCTTCCTCCTTCACGAGACCGGGGCTGGCACGCAGGGTAAAAATGAAGTCCTTTCCTACAAGCCCTCCTAACGAAGGAGGCATTTCAAAAGCCTGGGTGCCTCCCCCCCACCGGGTCCCATGCGTTTCGGAGGGAGGGGCAGGCAGTATTCCAGGCGGGAGAGCCCCGTGCCAAGAGCAGCCTTTCAGGAAGTCTGCTGGAATAACTGAGTCGCCCGCTTGCCATGGGAGTTCAAGAGCATAGAAGGGTCCACGAAGGGCATCCAGACATGGTTACAGCCAACCACTCACTTATCAGTTGTGTTTCAAGACCCACAAAGAGGCTCTGCCTCAATGAAGCTGCTTCCAAAACATACCGTGTGGTAATTGATCATCTCCTGGAGGCTGTCGGAGAACTTTGTCAAGCTGCCCTGGAAGGGGGAAAAGGAGGGGTGGAAAGCAGCACCCAACTGAACAGGGGCAGCATTTCCTTCTGGAAGCGCGGCACCCCAGGGGCTTCCCCCCCCCCCCCAGCATCCAGGGTGACAGCTGTACTCGGGACCAGGACACCAGAGTCTCGCCAGGCGGTCGGAGGAGCCCCGTGCCACTGAGGGGGGAAGAAGCAGCCATGCCAACCCCGGGAGCCAAGGAGAGGCTGGCCTACCTCACCTGAACCCCCTGGAGCTCAGCTTTTCCCCCACCTGGGCTCAGCACCTGGGCCTTACCTCCACCAGGTCATCCTTGCTCGAGTAATGGGCCAGATCCCGGAGGCCGTGGATGAACTGCTTGTTTGCCAGACAAAAGGCCTTCCCAGTATCAATCATGGCAATGCAGAGCTTCACCAGCTGGAAGGAAAGAAAACAGCCTCACAGGCTCTGCCTCTGAGGGCTGAGAGCTGTTAGGGTTTGAGGATTAACCCCTAGCAGAGTATTGCAGCAGTAGTCAAGCCAGGTAGCCAAAACGAGAGTGGAAGGGCCCCAGAGTATACACACACTGAACACAAACACTGTTTGTAGTTTAAATAGTTTTTAATCCAGTTAGAGTTTAAGCATTGTCATTCAGTCCATTAAGTCATTCACAGTATTTCCATCCAGTAAGACTCACTAGTATAGTCCAAGTTAAGAGTCCTTGCAATATCTTTATCAGCCGATAAAGATATCTTCTCCTCCTCCGGTTTCACTCTCCAGAGAAACAAACGCTGGATATTCAGTAGAATTACGCAGTAAATCAGCAAACAGTAGCAAACAATAACAGTTCAGTCACAGGCACTCACA